TGAATACATTTCATCCATGACCTAATAATAACATATCGCTGGGATATTTAAGTTTATGTTTGTCATGGATGCTATGAAATTTGAGGGTTATAATAAATATAGGGCTGGAATTAGCTCATAACTCTGAAGCTACCAATATAGGTGTTGGACTTTTAAGTTGGAACCTGCCTAAGGGGAAGCTACCAATAGATGAGACTCATGAAGGTGGAGAAATGCCCTAATGCAAGAGGATGCAAAATCAGGTGAAGAGGATGGAGCAATGGATACAGAGGAGGAAGAAGTAGCCATAGATGAGACTCATGAAGTAGAGAAATCTGCGGAAATGGAAAGGGTGCTGAACACAGGGGTGGGTGAAGGTCAGTAAATTGTTGGGTTTATTTAGGGAGATGGAAGAGACTAGATTCCAGACGAAAGATAAGATTAAGGGGACGGCTGATTTTGGTCCAGGGACAACTAAGGAAATTGGAAGTTTAATGATAGTTGGAGAAATAAAGGAGGGGAAGTGTAGAGAAGAACTGAATGCTGATCAATTGTTTGAGAAGAATGACATATTTGAGTTATAACCTTTATTTCCAAGATGCTCCCAAGCAGCAAGATAATAAATTTAAAAATATGATGACATTTAAATACTCTTTAAAGAAAAAAATTCCCCAGTTTTTCCATTCCCAGGAAGCACAAAGCTATGTTTTTTTTTCCTGAGAACAGAAACAAAAAAACAAAAAAAGAACATTTTTCTCAATCATTACCAAACTCTGTCTAAACTTCTAGAATATTATGATAAGAAAATATTTTCTAGAGTAAATTTAAACAAAATAAATGGAGCTTAAATGATGTGAGGCATCTAAGTTGTCAAATTATAAGCCTGAATGTACCCACCAAAAAGTGCATTTTGGTAGCAAGGGTTTGGAGATGAAATTTGGCCATTTGATAGAAGGCACTAAGAGGATCTTGTGGAGACTTTTTGGCCTCCAACCATCTTGCCAAGCTGAATCTTCTCGAGTTCTTCAAACTTCTTTGAACAAGCTTGACTAGTAAATTCACTCTCAGTTGTAAAAGCCACCACATAATTCCACCCACCTGACTTATTTACAATATGGTAGTCTGTCATGGGCCCAAGCGTAGGATCGCGTCACGGGTCGTTCCACGGCAGGAACCCCTGATCTTCCCTTGCCTTTGGCCTTGCGCACAGACCCTATTTTGCCTATCTAGTGGGTGATTTGTCCAAGAGACCACCCGAACTCTCCTCACTCGTTTCTTGACTGGAAAACTGAATGCTTTATTTCAATTCGTAGCTC